CCTGTGGAATTCCTGTGGATTCCAGTGGATTCCTGTGGCATTCCAGTGGATTCCAGTGGATTCCTGTGGCATTCCAGTGGATTCCTGTGGATTCCTGCAGGAATAGGTGGGGCACTGTAAAGTACTGAGGATATTATGGAAATGCACTCCATGCAGCATCAAATGGAGGCCATGAGGCCATTGCAAAGCTGCTGATAGAGAAGGGGGCAGATGTAAATGCACAGGGTGGAGAGTATATGCACAGGGTGGAGAGTATGGAAATGCATTCCAGGCAGCATCAAGTGAAGGACATGAGGCCATTGCAAAGCTGCTGATAGAGAAGGGGGCAGATGTAAATGCACATGGAGGATTTTATGGAAAGGCACTCCAGGAAGCATCAAGGAGAGGCCACAAGGCCATTGCAAGGCTGTTGAAAGAGAATGGGGCAGTTGTAACTATGTTGGACCTGTCAGATTATGGCAGTGATGATTTTTCATCAGATGATGATTATCTAGAATGCTGAAACCTCTCTGTGGATGTTATGGTGGTAGTATTTTTGTATAAAGAAACATTGGGATGAAGTTTTGTGACTTGAATAGCCAAGTATGACATTTCAAGATCTAGTATTGAGGTAAATGTAGCTAGAGAACAATGTAATGTTTGAAAGCAGTTTGATGTGGTTTTCTTGCCATTTTTGTTATAAACAGAGAAGTTTCCATATCTGGACCATAGGCACTAGACCCTGATATTAGCTTTCTTCAATTTCATCACTAGCAGTGAGCACAATTGCTATTTTCCCCTGCTTTTCTGGCTATATTCCATGCACATTCTCTTATGTGAAAGTATACACTGCACCTTGAGAATAGTATATAACATCAGCAATGGTGACTGTTTTTCCTTTATTATTAACATATTTGGTTTGTACTTCTACACTTTTACGAGGTGTTGCACAACTTTTGACTCGCTGCTCAATGCAATGATACACCCATAACCTTGAGTTTTTCTTCATGAAGAGTTCATTCAAACATTCTGAAATTTGTTACAATAGTGGAATGCAGAGTTGATGTAGCGGTCGCTACGCTACGTGATTTTGAACAACCACTACACTCATGCCTAGTGCTACAACTCCGACTGGTAAACTACCCGCGCTACGGCATAAGTCGTTACATGTGCGACCATTGATGGCTTAGCAGCATGACGCTTATTTAATGCTCATTTGCCGGCCGGGCCTTTGTTTTCCAGATGATTAGATAATCTCTATCCAAACGTTCTGATCTGTGCTTGATCTGTGCTTACCTGCTCTCCTCATTCATTTACATGATGCCCCACCTCAGTGACAGACAGAAACATGTGAACGTTCTACTGGAGGCCTTTATCCTGAAGACTCTCATTGAGGCTCAGGAATCCACCAGCCAACCTGACACAGATAGCACAGGATCTGATTGGGAGACAGATTCAGAGAAGGAGGACAATGGCAGCAGTACATCGAGTGACTGGGGCATGGGTGAGGAGGATGAATGCCCTGTATCTGACATGGTAATTGAAGCCTGCCACCGGCTCTATGAAAATTTCTACATCGAGGAGGGTCACAAAATCCCAAAAACATGTGAAAACCTCAATATGCTCCTAACACAGTACAAGATGGGCTTCCCTGACATCTTTCGTTCATACCTCCGTATTACGCCAGAGTGTTTTGACAGTCTTTTGGAGTCTATTCAGCACCATGAGGCCTTCCAGAACAATTCCAACAACCCCCAGATGCCTGTTGAATGCCAGCTTGCGATCACACTGTACCGTTTTGGTCACTTTGGAAATGGCCTCAGCACCTTGAAGGTAGCGCTTTGGGCTGGGGTTGGCTATGGGACTGTCTGCGAGTGCACCAACCGAGTCATGCGTGTGTGCTGTGATGAGCGTTTTCACCAGGTTGTTATGCAGTGGCCATCGGATGAAGAGATTCAAGAAGCCAAAGATTGGGTTGAAGCTAACTCTTGCCCGGCCTGGCGTGATGGCTGGTTAATGGTTGATGGAACACTTATCCCTATGTTTCAACGTCCCCATCACTTTGGCAGTGCCTACTTCGACCACAAGTCAAACTACTCAGAGAATGTTCAAGTGAGTTCTTGCCATCAATTTAGTTCATAATTCTGACTTTATTGTATAGATAATTAACACTCCAGACCTACATATTATTGACTATGGCATTGGACTTCCTGGAAGTCAGCACGATGCTACTGCTTGGCAGCACACACACTTACCTCAAGAACGCCAACGGTTGCTCAAGGATGGCGAGTTTGTCTGGGCAGATTCTGCATACCCTGTTCGAACGTGGTGCCAGGCACCATACAAGGAGTTAGTTCATCAATTTTCAATAAAACTCAGTGCTAAGCATTATTTAGCCCTGAAAAATCAATGGCACAAAATACCGAATATAACTATTATGTTTCACACATTTGTATTCATTCAGAACACTGCATGGGGTATCTCAAGGGTCGTTGGAGCTCCCTTCGTGGCCTGTGACTATGAATCAATCACCATGATGCACAAGCAATCACTTCTATCTGGATCATGACATGTATTCACCTGCACAATTTTGCGATGGCGCATGAGTGTGGATCAAATGTTGAGGCTGATGATTTTTTTGTAAAAGGCCAGCAACTTATGCAAAAAGAGAAGGAAGAGAGACAGGCATGGGAACTGCAACGTGCAGAGGCTTTGGCGACCCAGGAGGCAGGTTATGGGGATGGATCAGATGGAGCAGTCAATCTTTTAGAAGGGCGGATCAAACATGAAGAACTCAAAGAAGCCTTATTCGAATATCTAAGCTCTGAATAAAAAATATATTGTAATGAGCAACTAAAGTTAGCTGAGCAAGTGCCTAAAGTTAATTCTAGAAGTGGTATGTATAGGTATGTATTGAGTGATTAAGAGATTACTTAGGGAGCTCGGGCACAACACCACCTGCACCAGCAACTGCAGCCTGTAAGCAAAGCATTTCGAGCTGCCTTTCGGCCATGAACTGCTCATGCTCGCAACGCTCACGTGCATCCTCTAGCTGACAGATTTCTTGTTCCTTCTCAGCCAAAAGTCGAAGTTTCTCTCTCTCAAGCTTTGACCTTGCCTGTATTTCGATAGTTTCAACCTTGACACGCTGAACAGACTCGTTGATGTCCTTGAGCATATCAAAAGGGTGTTTGCGCTTCAAAGAATTGATCTTTGGTGTCTCCGGTGCACCTTTTGACTGTGAAGCGGCAGGCAGAGGCAAAGGGGCACAAGGTGGAGGGGTTTGAGATGATGGTGCAGTGGGTACAGATTCAGAATGGGGAGATGTAGGGGTATTGACCTCCATGCTCTGGTTTGCAAAGCTGGCGTCGATTTGGTCATCATCCCAGTCTGGGGAAGAAGCACGGGGAATTTGGACTGTGCTTGTGGAGCAAGGATCATCGATATCCATGTCCTATCATTCATTAAAGATCAACATAGTGATAGGGTATATAATAGACTTACCTCATTGTTTTGCACTGTGGCTTCCCCAGCTTCAATATCCTCCTCATCAGCGCCTCTTCCATGGGATAAAACATCGAGATCGACAGGGGTTGCGCTGTTTGCAAGACCGGAGAGGTTGTGGACCAGGCTGCTACTCAAAAGAGCGTGAAGGCGCTTGTACCATTTGAATTTGCTCTCAATTTGCTCTGTTGGTTGGTAAGTAAGGCTTGAGTGGTTGCAAATCGCAGTACCGCTTGTGATCTCTGCCTTGCGATTCGACTCAATCAATCTGTGACCTGTCTCACCCAACCTCTTTCGGTAATGTTGATAGGTAGTCTTCAAACTGTGATAGAAAGGTCAGTCACAAAGATGGGGGGACCAGTGAGACCACTGAACCTATGAGGCAACATGGGCCTTGATTGATAAGGCCAGTTTCTCTGGAGGCCTGCTCGAGCCCTTGAAGATCTCTGGGACAAGCAGACGGCAGACCTTGATGGTGTTGAGATCACCTGCAGTGACCATCATGTCACCAACCGAGAATCCAAAAACCTTTCGATACTGAAGGCTGTCTTCAATCTTGGTGAGGAGCGTGTCTGTCAGGTGTGTGAACTTTGAGTCCGCCCACCTGTAAATCGTCATTATCAATCTTTCAGGGCAACCGGACTGAATGAAACATACCATACACAATCACTCTCTTCTTTCTTGATCTCAGGTTCAGATTTCTCCCCCTTGTTCTTCGTGTGCTTCGCTGGTTTGGCATTCTCTTTCCCTAGGGCCAGAGTTGCCTCGGATTTGGTGCCAGATGCCTTTGCGTGTTTGGCTTTGACAACGATCAATTGCTCTTTGAGAGCTTGGAGCGGGGTGGCAGTGGACTCAGAAGGGGTATTAGAAGGAGGACTAAGTAGTAGAGGCTCAGACATAATTCAAAGGTGGTGTAGAGACGCACTGGCAGCCTATAGCCCCAAAGTTTGTTGAATAGTTTAAAAGTCCGCTATATTATGACCGTGAAATGTGCTACAGTTTTCAGATAAAACTATTGAGAAACCCCCTTTCCATGGAAACCCCCCGGGTTTCCGAGGCAATTGGAGAAATCCCTGACTTTTGTGTATTTAAACTTCTCGCCATAATCCAGCTGACGGTCCATGGTGGCTTACACAATCTCATTTGCGTGACTGACTTGCGCTCACACTCTTTGATATTTCTCGTGAGATTGACGGCGAGCTCAGAAGTGCGGATACGGTATAGAGTTGGACGAGCTGAAGCTGAATAGGGACCTCAGACTGAGCTTTACAGTGGGGAGAGGTTTGGAAATTGGAGCCCAGGCAAGTTGAAACAATCCCACAACAGCCAATGGTCACGTTATGGGCCAAGTAAGAGGGTGTTCTCGGACAGCAGCATCCTCATGATGCAAAGCCACTGTGGTAATGAGATGCGAGTTCAGGTGGTATTAAAATAACAACCTCGATATGCAAAACATACCAACAATTACCCTTGCAAACAAAATCCATTCCAGCTGCACCGAAAATACAGTTGGTACTTCAATGTCAAGTTCCCTTCTATCTAAGCCTTTCAAGTCCATAAGGAGCCCAACAACCCAGCCAACGCCAACAGAGGCGATATCAGCACACAGTCTGTAATGAGGCGCAAGCTGCCCTGGGCTCACTGCTTACAGCCATTCAAAGCTGAAAACAACTCAAACCCTTCCTCAGATGCTGCAGAAATTCAGTAAGCAGATGAAGGAGACAGTGAGCCATTGACTCACCACTGCCTTGAGCAAATGCGGCCATAATTGAACATAACAAATCAATGCATTATTCCCCCCCCCATGCATAATCCCAAATGCAGACCAAGAATGCAGCGGTCGACTAGTGCAAACAAGGGACACCCTTGAGGTGATTGAACATGAGTAGGTGATGTGGACTGTGTCACTGAACGGGACACAATTGTGTTTGAGCTATTGTGTTTCGATCCCCGTGATACGTTTCGGCAACAGCATAAGGCTTGGCTTGAGAGGCATATCTCAAATGGCACATCCATAAACGCCATGCCTCATATGATGTGCGCCGCAGGGGATGATGTGAACACATGTGCGAAGACGTGGCCATCCTGTTCGCTGTCCGCTGAGTAAGCGAGGATGAGCATACAGGTGAACTTGTCCTCCCCAAGAGAAGCGAGATTCCAAACAACCCAAGCGAGCATGTCATGAACATCCTCAGATCCTTGAGGGTAAACGATGCCTGGGACAAGACGGTAATTGGGTATGATGGTAGCGATGCTTCAAGAAGTAAGTGTAAAGGTTGGTGTATACGAGGTTGGAAGGGGGCGAAGAGGGGGATCCAGTAATGAGTCAGCCTTGTAGAAGAGTACTAGGCTTGGCGCAGCTTGAGTTGTGCCGTCTGTATTTGGGGGCAGTAAATGGCGAGCTGTGTAGATGGAGAGTTTCTGTCAGTGCATTACAACACACCTGATGTGCCTCTATTGGGCTGTAATCAAAGGTTTTTTGTCCGATTGACTCTATCACAACTCTATCACTGCGTGATTGCTTCATGAAAAGTAGTAAGTTCGACTTCGTTTTCAATGCAGAGTAATTGATGAAATTCTTACTGAAATGAATGACCTCCTTTGTGCATGGCGGGTAGTCTCCTAGCAAGGCGGGTGTGTCCGACAAATGCATAATGGATGTGTGAGTAAGGGGCAGCAGAAGAACATTTAAAGCGATTGCAGTGACTTTTTAAAAATATAATTACTAATACAGCTTTGAAGCGGCCATAGATCATGTGACTGCCGAACCTTGACCGAAGAGAAATAGGGTTTCCAGATAAGCAAAGATTTTAAGTGGGGGGTTTCTGCAGAAAGGGGGTTTCTCAATAGTTTTATCCACAGTTTTCGATACGAAATGCTTATTCAGCGAAGGAATCCCGAACGTTCTGTATCGTGGGAGTCGCGAGACAATTCCGTAGCAACCGCTTGTAGCGGTCGCTACGTCAACTCTGCATTCCACTAATCATAGAAGGGCAATTTTCATGTAGTTTTTGTACTGAATGGTTGTGTTTAAGCTAATATCCCAATTTTGATATATCATGAGCTGGTGAATGCACACTCAAAATTCAAACACACCTCAGGAATGAGAAAAAAGAAACCTGTCAAATTGTAGTGTACTTAATAGTAGTTTGTCAAATGTATGTGGTATCGCGAGGGGGATCCTGCACAGTGGCACAAGATTCAGGGGGACAATGAAGGAACGTGGGGTGAATGCGGTTGTTGGGATCAAAGCGAGGGATGGAGGGGGAGGAAATTCGGAAGCTGGAGGGAGCCGGAGGTCGAGAGGTCGAGAACTTGCAAAAGGGGAGCAGGGGTGATGTCCAAATCGCACCTCTAAACCCTACTATCCCGTCCATGAGGAATGACGAACGCGCCAGAGACGGGGCTCCAACCATCCTCTGGGCCCCTCTCATCTCCCCTAATAAGACTCGCGATACTCGCCGTATGCCTATGGCCGCCCCTCCCCTGATCCCTCTTGGGCGCTATGAACTATCAATAGATTGTCGTTAGTTGACAGAACGACGTCATGCCGAGAAACCCATACCTGTTTTTGCTGCGAGCCAAAAGAAGCTAGTGAGCCAGGCACGGGCGAACGATACGTGATATCCACTTCCTCGTCATCCGAGCTCGTTTCACTCAGTTCGAAATCCGCAGTATCCACCGTCCCATTTATCCCTCCTCCCCCTCCTCCTCCCCTACGCGGATCCTCCAAATCGTATACTTCGTACTTTGATCTGCCCCTGAACCGGGAGGAGGAAGTGAGGTTGGACAGGCGCGTGAGTGCTGCGGAGCCCCTAAGGTCGTCTGGGAGGAATAGATAGAAGAAGGCAGTGGCGAGGCACGCGCCGCCTACGACGTCGATGAGGTAGTGATGTGATAGGTACATCGTAGCCCAATATAACACGCCCGTGTACGCCCATACGTATTTTGTAGTGGCCGGGAAAAAGTGGGATAAGCAGAGGGCTTCGATGGTCGCACAACCTGCATGTAATGAGGGGAACGCGCCGAAGGGGATGGGCGCGTTTGTGAAAGTGACGGTGTATGCGTGGGAGTGGAAGAGGGCGTCGATGCGGGATAGACCGCCTGGGGATCCTTTCATGGAGTAGTTTGCTGGAGTGAGGCCGTGGATGAGCTCATACCATGGTGCGGAGCATGGGAGGAGGATTTGGATGATGACGCCGACCATGTTCATGTACCCGAATGCGCGGGCCCAGAAGTGGAGTGCTTGTTTCGTGCGGAAGAGCCAGAGGAAGGCGGCGACGACGAAGGGGATTGTGAAGTGGCCTACGCCGTAGGGGAGCCAGGCGATGATGTCTAGGGAGGGGTGGATGAAGCGGGCATCCTCAACCGAGATATTTGCACCATAGAGGATGGATTCGAGTGTAAGTAACAGGGAGACGAAGATGGCGGGGCGCCATGAGGCAGGAATGAAGCGAGAAGTGTGAAAAGTGATGAGGTAGGCAAAGATGGGTGTAGCGGGTAGGAAGAATGCGTTGTGCATTACACATATGTTGGCCTTCACCTGAACTTTCTTGTGAGATCTCCATAGTGTCCCTCCACGGGCAGCCGACTTCACCGTTGCTCTTAGGAAGCTGCTGTCCCACAATGCCCGCTGTTCGTTGCGTAGGTCAATCTTTCACATAATTGTCATCCCATTTTCTAACGATCCACCTTCTATACTAGATAGCGCCAACCCTTAGCTACTTCGTTTCCTCCTTTCCCTCACCCTCGTCCTCACCATGTCTCCTGGATTCCTCACCACCGCAGCCACCATCCAGCTCCGGCAAATCCATGACGAACCAGACGAGGGGTCACGCGTTGTGTTAGTCGACCGTCGACTTCGCCAAAGCCCCGTCCATCGTTGTTGCATCTCCAGGACTTGACGAGCCCTCTAATGGAATCGGTGGATGAAAGGGAGGTTAAGAAAAGCCGGGCCCGACTGAACGGTTGCACCACTTGAGGGGTTTCGTTGGTGGCAAGGATACCATGAAGTTGCGCTATCAGTGAGTTCACCCTCATACTCGTGAGTAACACCAGAGGGCTAATCTATCGTTGTAGTGTTCTTCGTGCCCAGAGAGGACGTTCATCAGTCTCGGGCTCAGTTCGCACTTCATCCTCTCTTCTGGGGTCCAAACATGTTTCACTCTATCTTCCTGGGTCAGCGGGCCAAGCGGAGTTGACATCGTGACATCCGTGTATATGATCACCGACTCACGGTACTCCCATCAAGGACGTCAGACTTCAACAATCCACGACTCGTGCATATAACGACCTTCGTAAGTACCCAACCATCCTCCATAGCCGCCATCGCGCTCTCTTTCTGCCTCTTACACAGATCAATTTCGATAATAGGTCTTGCTGCCCTCACAACCCTCGCGAACAAGTCCAACCCAGAGGAATTAGACTACACCGCTGTGTCTATGTACATCGGCGCCCCGACGAGTAGTCGTTACATAGGATCCCCTCCTCTCGGACCCAAAGGGCGATGCCCTTTCACTCAACTCTTCCCATACGAGCATGGATCCCGCGGTTGGAGAGCCACACAGGTGCAAGTCAACCTGACCACCCCAACTGGGAGGGATTCAGGCTGTCATTAGGATTATTTGGAGGTGATGATGCGTTGACTGAGGATCATGGGGTGCATAGGGCGAAGGACAGTGTGCGCTGTTAGTATGAGCAAGCTAATCCACTTCCGCTCACCTTTCTCCTCTGAGCCGCTTCATCCTCCTCTTTCTCCTACACACTTAATCCTCGCAACCTCCTCTCTGTGCTGCGAGAACTCCTAGACATCTACCTCTACCTACCCCACCCTTTGTTCCATGACACGAACGTAGGATGCATATACACCGCTTCAAATCACCTTTGGTCAAGGACGCTGCACGGCCGTCAACCCAGTCCTCCACAGGTACCTGTCACGTTTGCGTCCTTTGGCGTGAAATGTCTCAGGCAAAACAGGGTATGTATACATTATTGTAAAAGTATACGTAAGAGCAAGCGGCCCCATTGATGTTCTGGGAGATAATGAAATTATGATTGTCATCGTGCTGGTTCTGTATAATTTGAGTACATCAGTCCGTCAAGCTACGGAGTCAACCTGAGGAGTGTTGTGCGTAATCGCTCCGATGCAAGTAGCATGTTCGAGCTGATCTCCGGCCGCTCTCTGGAGACGTTTGGAGGTTCCGCGTAAGAGAAGCTGGCTCAATGAGCCGGACAGCTTCAAAGACCACGATTATTTAGATTGATTTCAAGGCACATATGACTCCCCAAACAACGATGAGAGAGGATCCTGAGGGTGTCGTTCGCCTGTCCTGGCGAAGACTTTGAAGGAACAAGTGAGGGAAAGAGTGGACTGCTGGGGAAGAGTGGGCGAGGAGCAGGACAAGTGAAATGACGAAATTGGAGGGCAAATTAAGGGAAAGGAATAGCGAACAAAAGTGAAATTGCAGTAGAAGGATCATTGGGCGCCAAGGTCGAAAGGAACGGCATGGAAGGCACCGAAACGAAGACAGTAGAAGGAAGTTAAAGACGGGAAAGGACACCCGGAGTCTGAAGGCGCATGGAGTCGGTCTTCAGCTTCAGTAGCCGCAACCAAAGTTGGCTTGGGCCTGGCTCGCCACGTACTGGACCATGACGGTGGAAGGTGAAGAAGTATGTCGAACATGCTGCGCGTTGGCCATTGTGTGTCTTTCCGTTTCCAAAATGCGAGGTCGTCCACGTCTACGGGCGTAGAGACTAAAAAGTAATCGGAATTGCGGAAGGGGGGTAAGTCGCCTAATCAAGGGCCATATGAGTCGTCGCCGTTCGGTCGAAAATGACGAGGGTTGGGCGGCTTGTGGGAGGTGGTCAAAAGCAGTGGTGATTCGCGTTGGAAGAAGGTCGATGTACCCGAGTGGTTGGAGTGCCGACTGGTCTGCGGCTGCTGGTCAGTCGGCAACCGTAGCCTTATAAGTGGATGACTGTCCGACAAAGGACAGTGGTGGATCCTCTTCTTGCACAACGGGGACGACGCACAAGGATAATTGGTCGTCGCGAATCTGTAACACGACATCCTGGCCGAATCACCAAGGCTTTCCATGGGTATGTAACTGCAGCAATGCCACGGCAGCAAATGGCGAACTCGAGAGCTGAGACGACGTGAGGTAACGTTGAACATCCTGCTTCGGGTATCTTGGGTTGCAAGTAATAGAGGAGCTCAAGTCGGTGCCTCCAGAGCAGCATGTCTGCGAGGTACAACTGCACGATATTGTGACTAAATTTGGAGGACCAACTGAATCGCGACGTAGTAGCACTGGAGTAGCACGTTGCAGGGCCTCAGAAATCAGGGAACTAACATCAGAAAGCGAAACTGAGGCAAGGATGGCAGACGCACCTCAAGATTATCCAACCCAGCTCCAGCTATCAGACGGCCTCGGGCTAACTTACTGCGAGGTGTTGAAGGTGCAAAGCCAATGAGAGGGATAGCCGGCGGTCCCGTAGTCCCCGCGACGTAGTGGATGTGTCTTGGTCGATGTCAAGACATGATGGTGGTCAAGTTGGACCATCTCATGCAAATCTCATGACGCCTCTCTTCTCCCCGCCTCTTTTGCTCCACGCGATTGTCCTTCGACTGATGCTTCATCTCATTTCTGGGACAATGTCAATATCCGATCCAGTACAGTATTTTCTGCCCTCTACCAATGTATCTCTTATTAATCTTTTCGTTAGTCCTTCAGATCTAGGCGTTGACTCTACGTGATCGTGCCCAGCATCACTTTCTCGCCCCAATGCGGTGTGCTTAGATGACTTCTATCGCCCGCCCACGACCTTCCTGTCTACGGGCAATCATCGAATACGCATTCAATAAGGCGTCAACTTCGTTGGGCCCAGCCGCTCACTTTTGCAGCACTTCCTTTTCGTGAAAACCCATAAATTGGCATAAGACCAGTAAAGAGTCCTTCAGTATTTCGTCATCCGTTCTGCCGCTCATTATCATGACACCTAGTATCAGGTCCTTTGAGATAATCCAAACCGTGCACTGTGTCTTTACTCATAATTGGACGGGAAGTTTGTATCTCGTGAGTACTTATGCTGCACTGGATCATTCCCGGTTTTTGACGGTCTCTTTACAGAAATCGCAATCCGTATAACCTAGGCATCCAAAGGACGAAGGTGGGCGTTACGAGGAAACATCCGAGCGCCAGTGGCCCAGAACGATCACCTCCAACCGCACAACTGCAAGAAACTTAACCCAGCCAGCCTCAAACGCCACTGAACCAACATTAAGGTGTAGCAGGCGCAGCGGATGGTCATAGACGAGCTCGTACTTTCAAGTGAGTACTACGCATGTGGCTATCTCAATATGTTGCTAACATATTGCTTAACCAGGCTGCAACGTAAAGATCTTACGGCGCAAGCCTGTCGGCTCTTTGTTCAATCCTGATTTCTCGCTGATGCGCTCTTCTGAATCTTTCACTACCACAACCGCCATCCACAGGACGAACCGGACGAGGGTCATGCGTTGAAGCAACGGAAGTTGGTCGACTGTCGACTTTGCCAAAGCCTCGTTTGTCGTTATTGCATTCTCCAAGACTTGGCAATCCCTATGACGGAATCGGCGCATGAAAGAGGTTAATGACTTAGAGAATGTCAAAGGGAAAGCCGGCTACGACTGAACGATTGGACCACTTGGAGGATTTCGTTAATGGCGGGGATACCATGAGGTTGGGTTATCAGTGAGTTTAGATCTCATACTCGTGCGTAACTCCAGAGGGCTGATCTATTGTTATTTGTTCTTCGTGCCCAGCGAGGACACTCACCAGCATGAATATGTCAATCAGAGTGACGGGCGCCTAGAGTTCATCTCGGGGTCGGTTCGTGCTTCCTCTTCTCTTCTTCACCTGTTTCCACTTTAACTTCCTGGTTCAGCGGGCCAAGCAAAGTCGACGTCCGTGTCTTTGATCACCGGCTCACGGTACTGGCCACAAGCTCAAGGGTTGTTTAAGGACGTCATACCTCAACGAATCCGTATTGGCGACCCGCGCATAATGATATAACAACTTTCGTAGGTACTGCCATCCCCCATGGCCTCCATCACGCGCTCTTTCTGCCTACTTACACAGATCAATTTCGATAATAGGTCTTCGCGCACTCATAATCTCGTCGTGAACAAGTCCAAGCTAGAGGAACAAGAATTCATACATCGGCGCGTTCAAAGAATCCTGACGGATAGTTGCTACATAGGCTTTCCTCTTGGAACCAAAGGACGACGACACATGCCATTTCATCCAACTCTTCCCATACGACGATTGAGGAATTTACTCGCTTGCACGTCAACGTGACCACCCCAAGTGGGAGGGATTCAGGCTGTCGTTTAGGATCATGAGGTGCATAGGGCAAAGGACAGTGCTCCGTTCGTATGAACGAGTTATAGCCTCTCAAAAGTGGATTTACCAATCGACTTCGGCTCATTTTCCTCCTCTGAGCCGCTGCTTCACCCTCTTCTTACGCACTTAATCATCGCAACCTCCTCTCTGTGCTGCGATATCTCCTAGATACCTACCTCTACCCACCCCACCCTCTGTTCTATAACACAGACGTAGGTCGTATATACACCGCTTCCAATCACCTGTGGTCAAGCGCGCTGTATGGCTGTAAACCCATTTCTTCACCTGTATCTACCGCTGTATTTCGCATTTCCGACTCTTGGTATTGTCAATGCCAGAACCGTCAAGTTTGCATCCTTTGGAGTGAAATGACTCATGCAAAGAGGGGATGTCCATACTACCTCGTAAACAGTAGGAAGTAATAGCGTGCCGGTTAATATTCTGGGAGATAACGCGATTAAGATTGACATTCTGCTAGTTCTAGGTATAATTTGAGTATCAATCCTAGCTACGGAGTCAATGTGGGATGTGTTAAGATTATACGTTA